TTTCTGAGTTTTCATTCACTGAGCGTGAGAGCAAAGTCTCTTAAGCAGAATTTCGCCTGGCTTCGTGCATGGTTCTTAAACTGGATTTCTGCTTTGTGTCCATAGAATATTCTCCTATTAGAAGAGAGGAAGTGGAGACACAGATATTCTGCTGAGATATTGGTGTCATCATATTTGAGTTGGAAAGGACTTAAGACAGCATAGAGTCGTAACTTTTTATGGGTGAGAATCCATGATAGTGTAACTTGGACAAGAACCTGGGTCTCCTGCCATTGTACCCAAGTGGGTGAAGAGGCAATTGGGTGGGGGATGGTAGGGATCCTCCTTGCTTGAGTTCCAGGGTCTTGCTAGTTTTCATTGCTCAGCTGCCTTTAGTTTATGTCCATGTGGCCTCTCATGGGAAGGTCACTCTGTCCTCATAGATTGAGTTTCTAATCAGCATAAATCTCTGGACCCACTCATATTTCCCAGAGTTTTTCTGCTGACCTGTTGACACTTTAAATAAGTGAGACCTAAAAAACTACTGGACATAAAATCCTTATTGTTATCGTTTGCCCTCAAGTTCCATAGGAATGGGGTGCTGTCTCAGGCTGTCTAAAGCGAGATCTGAACAAAGATAAGGTGATAGGCTGTGCTGCTGGACCCTTCCCAGTAGAATGGAATTTCCACTTTAGTTTTCAGAATCAGGCAGATGAGTTCAAATCTTGCCTTTTCCAGTTATTAGCTTTGTGAACTTGGGGAAGAAACTTTACTTTTTTGGGGTCTAATTTTCTTATCTGCAAATAAGTTCAGTATTTATTATAGGGTTTTTGTTTTAGAATTGAATGAGCTACTTCCCTCATTTATTCCTAAAATACTGATCACATGGCTCTATGCTGGTGCCTTCGTAGTTGAATACTAAGGGACTCATCAGTGAGAATGAGGGTGGGGCGCCCCGTATCATAGAGCTGATATTCCAGGATATGCTTGAAAAAGACTGGATTACAGTGGATTTTTAGTAAATGCCCATTCCTTTCCTAATCCCCACTGATTGTGTATATATATGTATACTAATAAATGAACAATTTTTTATTGCAATTTAAATCTCTTTGTAGTATTTAAAATATGTAAGTATAACAAAAATAAATCAAATAAAATGATTTGACATTTATTTTCCTTTCAATAAGCAAAACAAAATAAAATAGAAAACAAAAGAAAAAGTTTTGTAGGAGTAGAAATACTTTTATTTCCATTGAATCAACCCCCTATGTTAGGTTTTTCGGTTGTGTTGTTAAACAGCATGCAAAATTGACAGGTTGTGACTTCAGTGTTGATAGCTAGGTGAGTATAGATTCTTTTTGTGGTTGTCTTTGATGAATTATTTGCACTAGATCATAAATGATGTGCATGTTACATATTGGAAACTAGGAAACAGTGGAGACATACTACCTCCAATGCAGTCATTTTGTTACTGAGTCCAAACTCGTTCTGCTCGCCGCATGACAGGCCAATAAACCGAAGATGAGGTGTTGGAGCAAGGAATAGTGACTTTATTTGCAAAGCTGGCAGACCCAGAAGATGGCAGAATGATGTCCTGGCAAACCATCTTCCCCAAGTCAGAATTCAGTCTCCTTTTATACTATAAAGGGTCGGGGGTGTGATTGGTTGTTGCAGACTTCTTGCTGTATGAATTGTCCTTTGAATCCGCTGTTCTTGCAGCTGTCCATGTGGATCAAATCATGGTGCCCCTATAAAACCTCCAAAAAAACAAAGGTTATTCTCTATTTTGCATCTTGCCATCTCTACATAAGTGCAGATGAGCTAACATTCTTAAAGATCACGGCCCGGAGAATTGGCTCTCCTGTCGATTTCAGGCTAAAGGCAACTTTCTTTTACAAAAGGTACAGAGCTAGCAAGTCTGAGCCTAGAAAACAGGGCACAGGGTTAAAGCCAAAGGAACAGACCTAACATGGCGTCAAAATTGTTCTTTTCTATTACAATTCCCTTTTCCGCTTCATAGATAATTTTTGTAAGAAACATGAGCAATTTTGTATTTTTG